CCAAAAACGCTGTTTTTAGGGGTTTCAACCCCTTTTTTCTCGAAAACGTGACGTGATGGGACATTTTTGACCCCGGATTCGTGTTCAGCACGAAAAATCCGTTCAGAAACACCAGGTCCCGTCTTATTCGCAGAAAAAAAGTTGAAATTTGTAGACCAGTGTAATCTATTGTCAGACTTGGATTGTTGGGAGTTTTCATCGGGAAAAAATAAAAATTTCTTTTCTTAGTCACATTGAGACGTAACTTTTATGAATATAAGTAAAAATTCAATAACTGAAAGCATTTAAAAATACACTGAAATAAAACTATTTAAAATTTACGATAAACGGATTGTAAAAATCGCATATTTATTAATACAGGCAAATTTAAAAGTAATAAATTTTTTAAATTCATCATTTCGACGATTTTTATTAAAAAAGACGCAGTTTTTTTTTTAATAAGATCTTTCGATTGGTGTTATCAGTTTTTGGATATCTCCTTTAGTTTCCGAGATAGTGAGTAAAATTTTGTCATATTTGAAAGTTCGCGAGCCACTCGGTCAACATTTTGTTGTATGTGACGAAAATTTTCACTTATGAAAAAATTTTCATACAGTTTGATGAAATTGATTACTTGTTAAAATTGTGTCTTATGTGACCAACTGTATGGTACATACGACAAAATCACACCAATCCTATTCAATGTATAGTCGCATGTGCTACGGCAACTTTTATTGACAAAGTGTTTAATATTTTGTTGATTTTTATTTATTAATTTATATCTCAGGTGTATTAGAATAGATTTTTTGCATACGAGCAAGAAATAACTTCAACAATTTCAGCTTTTTGCTTACTTGCTGTGTGTGTGATTTGTAGTATGTCATACAGCTGGCCAGCATTTAACGTGAAAATGTTACATACGACAAAATGATTTTATAAAAAAGTGACTGTCAACGCTATATGATTTAATTTAATTTTATGTCAAAACGTAACGTCATAAGCCATTTCAGGGCAATGGCTCCTCCTTTACCTCGGATAAATTATAAGTTTTCCGAATTGAGGAAGTTTGGGTAGATTGATTTAAAAACGTATTCAACTTTTCCTCAAAACTTTCTGTTTTGTTTACTTTAGCGACGCTATGAGCACATTCATTTAAATCTTCTACAAAAAAGGCCCAGGCTGCAATTTTAAAATTACAGTTTCAAGCTTTTTGTTAATTGTAGTCAAAACCCATGATTCAATAACACAAGGTTATGTAATTTGTGACAGCTCAAATCTGACACTCCTTTATCTAGATTTGTATTTTGGAAGTAGGAGAAAGGGGAAGAATGTGATCGCCTTTTGCGAAAACGGTAATAGAAAGGTACTAAAAAAGTGCGCCAAGTATACAATTAGAGTAAAATGTGTATAATTAATTTTATTTGAATTTGCAATATTATATTTATTTATATTTAATGGAAATACTAAACAATATGTATAAATATAGATTTTTAATTTAAGTTATTCGTCATTTCCTGATATACATAATTGAAATTGTTTTTATATATTTAAACCAAAACCACTAAAAAACGAACAAATGTTATTTTTTCATGAAATAGCCTTCTTTGGAGAAAAAACTGCATGAATAATGGTAAAGAAATTTACATTATTTAGAAAGTACAAGCTATTATCTTTAATTCGATATACATATTTTATCATGATCTACGTTTGGTTGTAAGAATTTTTGGTTTTACTACTAATATAACTAAAAACTGTAGAGTGAGCAGCATTAGGCACAAGTAAAGGAACCGATTTTATATGTGCGAGCGAGAAAAAATTGTTGTTGCTTGAGATTGAAAATGAAGGTGTGTGTGTGAGTTTGTGAATAAAATTTTAAAATTAAATTGCTTGGAAATATCAAGAATTTTAAAAGTTCCTCTCAACGGTTCTGCCTTACTACATTTTTATCTAATGGGCAAAACGGCATTTTACAAAAATCATGGGTTGGCTTTCCTTTATGGCCGTTCGTTAAAGGGGCGGTGAGCGAAAGGTAAGTGGGCGTGGCACCTTTAATCCACCTTTTTGGAGAGGGAATGAACCGCCATTGACAAAAATGCAAGCCCTCTCCAAAAAGGACGGTTGGAGGTCCCACGCCCACCGCACCTTTAACGAACGGCCATAATGGAACGTTTTCCCAAAATCATCGCGGGATTAATGCAAGCAAATTCCAAATTATATTATGATACAGTTAAATGAAGAAGTTTGATATATTGCTGAAATAAATCTCTTGATATCTCTGTGCCATTTACGAATACAAGTATTATTTACACTGCTCCTGCCCATATTAACTGTTCGTTTCTCCTATCTTATCTTTCCAGCTCCGCCACGTGGCAAGCGACACCACAGAGACGGAGACGGAGAAGAGCGCAGGGAAAAGTGGACGAGAATATGGCAACGGCTGTGGTCAGTTGGAGCAAATGTGGAATGACAGAGATATAAATCAAATTTAGTCATTTCCAGTTGCCGCGCAGTAAACGTATTTAAATCAGTGAGGGCAGTTAAGGACACACCAGTGGCACGGTAGTTACACATACCGCAGCATTAAGCAGCAGACTTACACCAGCATTGGCAGCATGTCCAGCCATTCGGGCACAATTGGCCGCAAGCGCGGGGGCAGTGCCAGCGAGTACTACTTCGGCAGCGGCGGCGGCGGCGACCAGATGCGCCGTCAGCGCTCGGCCGAATGGCACAGCCACCATGGCTACAGCAGTAGCGAGGATGAGTACCAGAATACCGTTCAGTCGTCGGCCTTCGATACGCAGCTGTTGGCGCAGCTGTTGCTGCAGAGTCAGCAATTGGCAAGTGAGTACATACATACATACATAGATTAGCTACTGCCCATGGGTGGTGCCGTGGGGGCGAAGTGTGAGGGGATTTGG